CCAGCTTCGGCCATAGTAGATGATTCGAATGTATGGGATGGAGGAAGTGTTTGGTGGGATGGAACGTGTGGTAAAAAAGCTGTATGAATCACTTTCAAACCTTTGAAGAAGGCGTTGTGCTGAACGTTGGACTTTTGAAATAAAGTGTTTCACTAACAACCTGTAACGGCACACATAAGAACAAGATAAAGCAAGTAATGTCAAGGTTTCAAGATAAGGGATTCAATTTTCTCTGTTATCTGCACTGCTTGAAAAATATGTTGTGCTTATGGATATACTTAATTTAACTATACCATTTTATTCAGATTAAATAGAACATTTCTTGGAAAAGTATAGAAGCATCTTGCGACGAACAACATGCACTTTAACAGCATATCTCCACTCTAATCAGCGTTTTTCATCTCGTTGTAATAGTGGTCTTAGCTTTTGCAGGTCTAGCATGACTTAGCATTTTTGTAATTCTACATCTCTGAATTTCACAAACTCTATTCTACACCAGTCCCGCCATCAATCCATTTGATCTTTGCATAGCTTAGGCTTTTGTAAAATGTTTTCCTTCATATATCTGCTTCGTAACTGCTTCGCGTATAAAAGTGGCATAGTAGAAAACGTTAACATTCGTTCGTGAAGCCTACGGGTCTCATTTGAAACTCTTTACAGAACCAGGTCTACGTGTTTCTCTTCAATTTTCACACAAGAGTTTTATACTTCGAAGACCTCAGAATCAACCCATTCCAGTCTTTTATTCAAACGACTGTCTTCACAAAAATTTCGGTGTTGACCATTACGTCATTTCGAGTATTTGATTATTGTATGGATGGATAGTGCAGTAGGCGGGATAGAATGACGTGCAAACCTAGGGGTCTAGCCATATATTAGCAAATTTTCTCATATCATATCAACCTCTTCGTAATTCATGAATACCTGTTCACCAAGTTGTAAGAATGTTTCAGCATGCTTCGATTTACATTCTTCTTTGCTCTCTTCGTCGCTTACTCCTGTTCCGCACCAGCTGAAGAAAAAGTCGAGTTGGATAAAGTGAATAAATTTGAGGACATCCCTAAGCAATATCGAGGTAAGTGAGCCTCTTTGCTTGGCTTTCACTCTTCTTTCTCGGCGAAATTTTTTTTCTCAAGAGTTAATCCCCGAGGAAGTGGCTAAACACCTCAAAGAAATCACTGACGATGAGAAAACTGTTCTAAGAGAGGTTATGAAGGACTATGCTAAGTACAAGAATGAGGAAGAGGTGTGAGAATTTGCCAAAAATCTCTTCCAACTATCAAAAATCGTTTCTTACAGTTTTTGGCAGCGTTGAAGGAGAAATCGCCCAGTTTGCACGAGAAAGCCAGCAAATTCCAAGCTTTTATCAAGGGAAAAGTCGACGCGCTTCAGGATGATGCAAAGAAATTTGTGGAGAAAGTTAGTCGCTTAGTTTAGAGATTGCAACAAGATTATCTTAAGTGAAAAC